CAGTCATCATTAGCTATTTAAAGACCCTCCTCTCACTTCATAAAACAACTAGACAAAAATATAGCAATAATATAAATGATCTGAACATTATCTACCACATTAACTCAATAGATAGACAAATGATGATAGATGATGACAGATGATGAGAGAGAGAGATGGAGAGATGGAGATAGAGATATTGATAGAGATAGGTAGATAGATATAAAAGAAGAGAGGGAGGGAGGGAGGGAAGGAAGGAAGGAAGGAGGGAGGGAGGGAGGGAGGGAGGGAGGAAAGGAACTATACCCACCAGCAAAATACTCATTTTTTTCAAGTGCCTAAGGTGCTTTTCCCAGGATATATCATATAATGTGCCATAAAAGAAGTCTTCTCTGGGTGGGGGATGAAGACAGCAAACCACCATGGCATGGATGTACCTAAGCAACAATCCTGCAGGATGCAGGAAGTGTACATGTACCCTAGAGCCCAAAGTACAATTAAAAAAAAAAATTGAACTCATAGAAAAAGAAAGTCTCAATACATTTAACAATATTCAAATCACACAAAATTTGTTTCTTAACCTTAATGAGACTAAACTGGAAATCAATAGCAATAATATAACTAGGAGAAAGACAAGTATTTGACAATTAGAGAACATACGGTACTTTCAAATGATAGGTGGGTTAAAGAAGACAACCCAAGAGAAACTATAACTTCATTTAAACTACATGACAATAAAAATATATCAAAATTTACAAAATGTAGGTAAAGCAGTATTTAGAGAGGTATTTATACATGTAAATGTCTATGCTAGAAATAAAGATTATTATGAGATAATTATTTGAATCATCTCATATAGAGAAAAATGAACCTAAATTAAATGAAAAGAAGAAAACAATAAAGGAAGAAATCAATGAAATGGAAAGTGAAAAAACAATATACTATAATTAAAACCAAAGCTAGTTATTTTGAATATAAGTAAAATTAAAAATCACTTATCTATGCTATTAAAGAAAAGTGGCACAGTGGCTCATGCCTGTAATCATAGCACATTGGAAGGTCAAGGTGGGCAGATCACTTGAGGGATTAGGAATTCGAGACCAGTCTGGCCAACATGATGAATCCTGTCTCTACTAAAAATACAAAAATCAACTGGGTGTGGTGGCACACATCTGTAATCTCAGCTACTCAGGAGGCTGAGGCAGGTGGAGGTAGGAGTTGGAGGTTACAGTGAGCCAAGCTTGCTCCACTGCACGCCAGAGAGGAAGACTCTGCCTCACAAAAAAAAAAAAAAAAAAAAAAAAACCCAAAGAAAAGAGAAACACATGTCAAAATATCAACATTGAAAGAGGGTACATCAATACAGATCCTACATACATGTAAGTACAATAATGGAATAATATAAAAAACTTTATTGTAATACATTAACATCTTAGATGAAATAAATTCCTTAAGATCATAAAGTACCTAATTCAACCAAAGGAAACACAAAAATCCTTGAATACTTTATATCAATTAAAGAATGAATTTATAATTTTAAAACCTTCCCACCAAGAAAACTCTAGGACCAAGTAGCTCTGCTGTTGAATTCTATCACATATTTAAAAAATAAAAATAAAACCAGAACCATAAAATAATAAATTTGTGTTGATTTAAGCCACTTAAAAAAAAGGATTATATAGTTTTTTCTCCTTTATGTTCTTTACATGTTGAATTACATTGAATTTTAGATGTCACACCAACTTCGCCATTCCTGTGGTAAGCCTCACTTGGTCACAATGCATTTTATCTATTTTTATACTGTTGGATTTGATTTGTTAACTTTTGTTTAGAGTTTTTGCAGTCATGTTCATAATGGGTACTGATTTATAGCTTTATAATTCTTATAATGTTTTCTGATTTAGGGGTCTGGGTAATACTGGCCAGATAAAGGAATTTTGGAAGTGTTCTTCACTATTTTCTGCCAGAGTCTACATATGGTTCTGGAGGTCAGAGTCTCACTAGGCTCAAATGAAGATGTCACCAAGGCTAATTGCTTCTGGAGTCTCCAAGGCAAATACATTTCCTTGCCTTTTTTAGCTCCTAGGGGCCATGAACACTCCTTGGCTCCTGCCCGCTTCCCTCGTCTTCAAAGCTTGCAGCACAGCACCTCCAAATTCTCTCTGACTCTGAACCCTGCCTCCTTCTTACAAGAACACTTGCAATTAAATGCTCATCTCTGCATCTCGGGATCCTTAATCATTCATATTGCACATCCCTGTTGCTGTGGGAGGTGCCTATCACAGTCTCTAGGGATCAGGCATGCACATTTTCGGAAGTCATTATCATGTTTATCACCATACTTTTCTCTCAAGGGGCTCCAAAGAAGAAAAGGCTAGGGACTGGGGCCAGGCTGAGGCAGGGATTTCACCCAATCAACAAGCCTCTATCAGAGCTGTGAGTGCCACAGGTGCTCCTGTGGACAGGCTATGAAGAAGATGCTGCTGAACAATTAATTCAAGCTCCATCTTAGAGTGTCTCGGTTTGGTGAGGTTTGAGGGGCTCAGGAGGTACAAGTTGATGCTTAATGTGATCAGTGGTGAGTTCCTCATCAGTAGAGGTATTCAACAAGAGGTTGTGAGATGTTCAACCCTGGTCATCTTTTTCTTCTTTTTAATTTATTTTTAAATAATCTCAGATGCAAAACTAGTACAGAGAGTTCTGATACAACATCACCCAGCTTCTAATTTTAACATTGCGCATAACCACAGTACACTGACACCAACACACATTAACTCACTACTCTGCAGACCCCAGTGGAGCTCTGCCCATTTACCCCTAATGTCCCTTCTGTGGTTGGAGGCCCCACCCAGGGTCCCACATGCGTTTGGCTGCCATGCCTCCTTAGTTCCTTCCAGTCCAGTACAGTTCCTCTGTCTTTCATTGCCATTACACTTTTGAGAAGTGTGCATTGGCCTGTTATTTTGAGAATGCCCATGAATTCGTGATTGAAAGTTTTCATGATCCTTTCAATAAATGCAGAAATAGTATTTCACATGAGTAATAATAAGTGTCTGAAAATTAGGAGGCAATTTTCCCAACTTATTTAAAGATAGCTATGAAAATCTGTAGCTAATATCATTCTCAGCTGTGGCATGTTCAATAATTTTTAGCCAAGATCAGGAAAACATCATGAATGCCTGTTCTCCCCATTTCACCTTAACATTGATTGTACTGAAAGCACTAGCCAACTCAGTAAGGCCAGAAAAAAGTAATACAAACAATAAAGATTGGAAAAATAGAATCACACTGTTTATAGAGGACATAATTGTGTTTATAGAAAACCCTTTAAAAAGCTACAGAAATATCTATGAGAACAAATAAGAGATTTAAATAATAGCATACAAGATCAAACAGCAAAATCAACTTAAGTTTTATGTATTAGAAATTAGAAATTTAAAAATAATCTTTAAAAATGTAACTATTAGGCCAGGCACAGTAGCTCATGCATGTAATCTCAGAACTTTGGGAGGCCAAGGCAGGTGGATCGCTTGAGGTCAGGAGCTCGAGACCAGCCTGGCCAACACGGTGAAACCCCATTTCGACTAAAAAATACAAAAATTACCACAGTGTGGTACGTATGCCTGTAGTCCCAGCTACTCGGGAGGCTGAGATGGACGAATTGCTTGAACCCAGGAGACAGAGGTTGCAGTGAGCCGAGATTGTACCACTGCACTCCAACCTGGGCAACAGAGTGAGACTTCATTTAAAAAAAAAAAAAAGTATTGCAATAGCAGCAGGAAAAAGAAAAAGTAAATGTAACACAAGATTTCTAAGAACTGAGCACTGAAAACTACAAAACATTGCAAATAAAAATTAAAGACCTAAATAAATGGAGAGATATACCATGCTCATGGTTCAGAAAACTAATAATAGTAAGATGGTAATTTTCCACAAATTGGATATCGGTTCCATGTAATTCTAGTATGATTTTAAAAGGCTTTGTTGACTAAACTGATAAGTTATTTTATAATTTACATGAAAAAAGAAAATAAGCTAGGATAGCCAAAAACAATCATGAACTCAAGAGTAAGATTAAAGTATTAGCTTGATTTACCTTCATTACTTAAAGCTATAGTAATCATGGAAGTGTGACATTCGTCTAAGTTGAGAATCCACAAAGAAACCCACACATTCATGGTAAATTGATTTTGAACAAAGGCACTGAGGTGATCGAATATAAAAAGATAGTCTATTCAATAAATGACACTGGAACAATTAGATATCCTTAAGAAAAAAAAAAAGAAACCTCAAACTGGTTATGCAAAAATATCTTACACAAGACACAAAAGACTGCTAAAATAGTGATATGTTAAACTTCATAAAAGTTAAAACAATTTTCTTTTTGAAAGACAGTTACAGATCCTATAACTGGCAGATGGGAAATTGGAATTCCATTTTAGGTATTTTAGGCCCTAAAACCCTATCCTTTTCACCACTCCATATGGTTTCTGGTACTCACTCTGGGACAAGGTAGTCTGGTCAGAAATAAACAGCATATATCAGTATATATATCTAAAGAAGCCTAGGAAACATTTAGCACAATGAGTCCAAGGTCAATGATAGTAGCTAACATATGTATTACATAAAACTAAACTTTCTTACATAACACAGAAAGTTTCCAGAAGGTAGACACCTTTTGCCTCCTCATACAACATAGATAACCAACAAAACACATGACATAAAAAAGTGAGAGATGTATCCAGAATGGAAATAGCACTGACTGACCAGGGATCCGGATCTTAAATTTCTGCACGTTAGATTCCCTCTACCTAAAATACAAAGGTTAACTTAGAAGGACAAACCCTCATGCTCTTTTCAGATTCATAATGTTAGAAAAGATTCTCCAGTCCTTCAGTCAACAACTTTTATTGCCAAGTTCTAACTGTGTGTAGTTCCTCAGGTTGAGCAAGGAGAGTTAGATCAAATGGAGTCCGAACCCCAGATCTGAAGTCAGGACCATCACGATGGCTGGCACTCACCTTTGGCAGTTGAGCTGCATAGTACCTGCTGGGGCACCGTCTGTCACAGCCCTATGAAGCCAGAGGATAAAAGGTGGGAAATGTTCACTAGCTGTAGTGGGTTATTTTTCACCAACTGCAGATGGTTCTGCAAGAAAAAAAAAAAAAACAAGGGCATCTCAGTGACTGGCAAATCACACCCAACAGCGTCACCATGGATGAATGAGCTCTCTGTCTAAACTGGGAGCTAGGCCTGCAGATTCACTTTGGGGAGAGTCCAGCCTCCTCTATGTTTTCTGACAATCTCCATCCAAACTCCCCACAGGCCTGTGGTGTCTAGTACTGCACAATCTCACAGCCCCCATGTACTCAATTCACAGTGATTAATGATGCAATGCAGTGCCTCAGATGCATCCACCCATTCTAGAAGTCCCTATAAAATAGCAGTTTGTATCTGGCCCACAGTAGGTGCTTGACAGGATATTTATCCAAATATATTGCATTGAAAAGTCCTTCACTTCTATCATTGAAAAATACAGATGGAGCTTGTTCTTTCACCTCTATCAAATATTTTCTGAAAATAAAGCTATTTAAGCATAAGAGGCTGAACCTGATTCAATCTGATTGTCGCTGTTGTTCCTAGCCTTCTTCCATTGTCCCAAATTCCTGCTTTAATTTTGAGCTAACTAAATTGACGTCTTGTACATCCAACACAGCTGGGGTAATGAGAAGTTCTAAAATTAACAATAATAGAGTTAGGCCTTGGCCCAGTCATTAAATGGTGAAATTTGTTTGGGGCATCCAAAATATTTCCTTTTTGCATCAGCCAAAATACCATTGGCTGCTCTTTTTTACTTCTCTGAAAAAAACTTGCTTTCAGAAAAGGCTCTGACATCTGTCATCTGTATCATAGCATAAGTTTGTCAATGTGATGGGATTCTGAGAAAATTTACATCCTAAGACATAATTCTAATTGTTTCATGAAAACTTTAACCAACCAAATAAGCAATTCATTTGGGAGAATTCAGGGAGAGGTTCTGTTTGGGTTTTTTTGGAAACAGAGTCTCCTTCTGTTGCCCAGGCTGGAGTATGGTGGTGTGATCTCGGCTGGGGGCAACCTCTGCCTCCCAGGTTCAAGTGATTCTCCTGCCTCAGCCTTTCCAGTAGCTAGTATTTCGGGCATCTACCACTACACCAGGCTAATTTTTGTATTTTTAGTAGAGACAGGATTTCACCATGTTGGCCAGGCTGGTCTTAAACTCCTAATCTCAGGTGATCCACCTGCCTTGGCCTCCCAAAGTGCTGGAATTACAGGCATGACCCACTGTGCCTGGCCCTGTTTGTATATCATAGAGACCATGTTACCTAAAAGTAAAATTGGCCTTGACTTTTTTGTGTACTCTCCTCCACTACTTCTTTTGAACTTTAGCTACCCACACACCTGATTCACTCTGTTAATGCTTTTGATGCTAAAATGTGAAATGGATGGCTAATGACTTTAAAAATCTACTACCAAGTGACTGGAAAGACGCAAGCAGACAGCATTTTGAAATATACCTGTGCATTCAAAGAGTTAATGTATTTCTGAAAGTTTCCTCCTCCTTAAAAACTATTCCTCACTTTGAAGTAGAAAAAAAATCTAGGTGTACCTGAAGAGGAATGCTAGAAGAAGAGAGGCTGCTTTTAGGAGATATTGAACTCTAAACCTTAAATGATTTAAATGCAATCCCCATGTGCAGCTGCTAAACCAAAGCACCTCACCCCAGGGAAGAGATGAGAAATTTTGAGGGCAATTGAACACTGAGAATTCTCATCATGGCTTAGCAAAAAGTGACTTAGCACATGTGTTTCAGTAATTATGATGCGTTGGAGTGCTCATTGGCTCTGGAACACAGTCACCAGTATGACAACTCCGGTGCGAGTGTAAGAGGCAATCAGATGAGGCAGGAATGAACACCTTTTGCCTTTGCAATCTGCTCATGCCCTGGGCAACTTTTCTTCTGGGAATGGATGTCCGGGTTGTGCACTTACAACAAGATTATTCATTACTTTTTAAGATTAGCTTTGCAGAGCGAATCAGGGGAAGAAGAAAGGTGGAATGCTTATCAGGTAACCACCATGTATTCAGCGCCTACTAGGGGCCTGGAATTTTACATATACTCCTTAAAAACAAAAAGAAAAAAATTACTGTGAAATCTCATATACATCACAGAAAGATTTAGAAACAGTAAGTTCCTCTGTTACTCTGCACAAACATAAAATAAAATGTTGCTAGGAGCTCAGATGGCCTCAGCAGACCTGTGCCTTAGAACCACCTACCCCTTCCCTAAAGGTTAGCACCCTTATGGCAATCCCTTTGCCATATATATTCCTTATAAACATGCATTTATAAAGGCTAGATTTAGTTGTGCTTGTTTCTGAATTATATGTAAATAGAATTATGCAGCATGAACTCCTTTGTATTCTTTCATTCAGAACAATGTTTGTGATGTTCATGTTTTTGTTTATAAATGTAATTTGTTCATTTCATTGCTGTCATATTATATTACATGACTATATCACAATTTGTTTATTCAACTGTTGATGGGCTTTGGGTTAGAACTGCTATGAATAATCTGCTATGAACATTCTTATACTTGTCTTTTGAGGTAGACGGGCATGCATTCTGTTAGATATGTGTACCTAGTGGTAGAATTGAGGGTCATGATAGACTCAGGGCCTATATGGTCAAGTTAGTGTATACAGATAAGTCCATTATGTTATTCATACCTAGAGACATTTATGGAAACTATACACAAGTAGTTTAAAATCAGGAATCATCCAATCAATAATTACCTTGAATCTAATGCAATGTACTATAGTGGACCTGCAAATGGGAAACTCACAAATGGTGATTAAATCAGACTCAAAAAAGTCATTCATTCATTTATCTGACTCTTTTTCATTGAATACTAGCTATATACCACATACTGTGCTAGGAGTCTGCATTGTTCTCTGTGGAGTAAAACTTTCTAATAGAGAACAGGAATCACAGAATCAGAGCAATGTATAACTGAATAGAGACAATATAGTTGAGGCCATCTATCAAATAATGAACATAAGAGCTACAGAGAAGTAAAGGAATGTATTCATTGTCTACAGAGAGCTGTAGGATCCAGGTCTCTTGATTCTCAGATCTAGAGAAATCTTTTCTGAGAGGGAAGAGTGTGGTCAAGGAAAGAAAGTTATGTCCTCATATTAATTAAATTCAACTTCTTCTGAGATTCTATTTCCTCTTTCTTCTTTCTTTCCAAACTACCCAGAGGCTAAATTACAAAGTAGACAACTGACTAAGGTGCAAAGTTTGTTTCTTCTCTCAGTCTCCAAAGACTTTGCCTCTGACGTGGTCTACATCTTCCTTCCCCAGGTACCTATTCTAGCAACCGTGCTTAAGAAACTCATGCCAACTCTTCTATAATATCTATTGATTTTGTTAACGTTCCAAAAAGCCTTGCCTTCTCAGCCTCACCCACCATGTTGCCATAGCAGCTGCGGCATGAAAGAACCACAGCGAGAAGAGAGTAGTGCCCCTTTCCCAGATCAGATACACTATTTCTGGCAAGAGATTTACATGGTCACTTTAGTCTCATTAAACCTAGTTCAGTTTGTGTCTTTCCATACCTTTCTCAAAAATTTTTAAGCAGTTACAATTCAGTGATCATAGAAGCTTCATTTTGACCTATTTTCCTTTAAGAAAAAAATAGGACAATGCTATTTTCTTCCAAGATGTCATTAGTACTCCTGGGTTCCTTCTCACTAAGAATTGGAGAGTTCAATATTCTGTTCAGTAGTAGAAAAGGCATGGAATTTGGGGAACAGAATGTATCATTTATGTCCAGGCTTCTATACAAACCATCACCTCTGTCTCAAGGTTATTATTTATAATCCATTTGAAAAAACTGTTTAATAGTAAGTGCTTAAAAACGTTACCCCCCCCCCTTTTTTTTTCTTGAGTTCTGAAAATAGTGCTAATTTAACCCCTCAGAATAAAATGACTTAGAGGTCTTGTCAAGCTCTACATGATTCTGCAGAAACAGTCTTGTGCCTAGTTCCAATGGCAGCCACAGTCCCCAGCCTAAATACACCAATATATGCAAAGGACAATAACTGTCTCTGGGAAGACCAAGCTAAATTCAGCTTCTCTTGATGACAGATCTCCACTTTGACAATCTGCTTCTTAAAACAACTATATCTTGCTCATGTTTATTCCTTCCTCTACCTCCCCAGCATTTCTTTTTTAAATCTGGAGAATCTCAAAAAGATATGAGGAAGTCCGTTTTAATTCCTCTGTCAAAGTGTGACGACCCACTACATAGAGTCTCATAATTTGTACCCCTTAGAGAGGGCAATCAAAGATTTAAAAATGACATGTTTAGATGAGCATTTTTAGCTTGGGGCTAAAAATCAATACTGAAAAGCACTGGAATATGGCTCATCTTACTGTGAAAAGACTGGATCAGGGCTCAACCTACAGCAGAGTTAAATTAGTAGAATGCTTATCTTTCAAAGTGTTCAACTGGGAATACTCAAATTTTGAGGCATTTTAGTTGGGTGCTAATTAGCAACTAGCTGACTGCTAAATGGACTGCCACCTTTCCTTTTGACAATTCACTGAAAATTAGTCCCTCAGTGCTATTTGAACACAGGGGAAATGGGTCGGGAGGGCTAGAGTTAAAGATGGGATTTCATTTGGTGCATTTATGTGAGAACTTTTAGTGTGCTGCTGATATTTAAGGACTTCAGTAAATGCAAAAGAGGGGAAAAGGTTGGGAATGACAGACAGTGAGTTCTGCTCAGCAGGCGTTGACTCTATAGTCAAAGTATGAATGGATCTAGTTCTTTTTAAATGTTAATAAGACTTTACACTGGAAAGGATTTCATATGCAGTTGCTATAATATCAGGCACTGGCCTATTCTGTGGTTGAGAAGGTAGGTTGGATGTTTGAATTATTGCCAGTATTAGGTGAGAACAAATTCAAAAGAGGTGTTTAAATGTTAATACCAAAAAAAATCTTACATTTGAAAAGTAAATATAAACTATAGGTATTTTCTTCCTTCACATCTGTTTCTTAATTATTATTATTTTGATATAAAATTGAATTTCAATCTATCATGACACTTGTTATCTTAGCAATAGAAAATGCATGAAAGGCAAGCATAAGCAAGGGCCGAGGTAAGTAGGATCTCTACTTTCCAGTGCTTA